ACACAATAAGTAGCGTGTGAAACTCAAGGTACAGTACGTGTGCAAACTAAAAGGTACAGTAGCGTGTGCAACACTAAAAACTAAGTAGGTGTGGAAAACACTCAAGGCGTAGCGTGTGAAACACAAGGTACAGTAGCGTGTGCAACACTACAAACATGTAGCGTGTGAAAACACTACAAGGTACAGTAGCGTGTGCAACACTCAAGGTACAGTAGGTGTGCAAACTCAAGGTACAGTAGCGTGGGCAACATTTACAAGTACAGTAACGTGTGCAACATACAAGGTAAGTAGCGTGTGCAACACTACAAGGTACAGTAGCGTGTGCAACACTACAACAACTATAGTAGCGTGTGCAACACTACAAGGTACAGTAGCGTGTGCAACACTACAACAACTATAGTAGCGTGTGCAACACTACAAGGTTTCAGTAGCGTGTGCAACACTGCAAGGTTACAGTAGCGTGTGCAAACACTACAATACTAGTACGTGTGTGAAAACAATTCAAGGTACAGTAAGGATGTGCAACACTAAAAGGGTTTCAGTAAAGTGTGCAACACTGCAAGGAACAGTAACTTTTGGTGCAACCTGCAAGGTACAGGCGTGTGCACACTACAAAACTTTAGCGTGTGCAACACTACAAGGTACATTTAGCGTGTGCAACACTACAAGGTACAGTAGCGTGTGCAACACTACAAGGTACAGTAGCGTGTGCAACACTACAAGGTACAGTAACGTGTGCAACACTACAAGGTACAGTAACGTGTGCAACACTGCAAGGTACAGTAGCGTGTGCAACACTACAAGGTACAGTAGCGTGTGCAACACTACAACAACTATAGTAGCGTGTGCAACACTACAAGGTACAGTAGCGTGTGCAACACTACAAGGTACAGTAACGTGTGCAACACTACAAGGTACAGTAGCGTGTGCAACACTGCAAGGTACAGTAGCGTGTGCAACATACAAGGTACAGTACGTGTGCAACACTGCAAGGTACAGTAGCGTGTGCAAACACTCAACAATTAGTAGCGTGTGCAACACTACAAGGTACGTACGTGTGCAAATAAAGTACAGTACGTGTGCAAATAAGGTACAGTAGCTGTGAACACCAACAATATAGTAGGTGAGCAACATACAGGTACAGTAGCGTGTTGCAACACTAAAACAAACTATAGTAGTGTGCAAACTACAAGGTACAGTGCGTGTGAAACACTAAAGGTCAGTCGTGTGCAAACTCAAGGTACGTACGTGTGCAAACTACAAACTATTTGGTTAAGCGTGTGCAACAACAAGGTACGTGGTGTGCAACATACAGGTACAGTAAGTGTGCAAATAAAAGGTACAGTCGTGTGCAAATGAAGGTACGTAGGTGTGCAACCTACAAACTATAGTAGCGTGTCAAAAAACCTATTGCAATGGTAAGTAGGTGTGAACCTAAAATAAGTAGCGTGTGCAAACCAAGGTAAGTAGGTGTGCAACACTACAAGGACGTACGTGTGACATCAGGTACAGTGCGTGTGCAACACTCAAGGTACGTAGCGTGTGCAACCAAACCCACCAATACATAACGTGTGCACACTACAAGTACGAAAGTGTGAAACTGCAGGTACATTTGCGTTGCAACACTACAATAAGTAGCGTGTGCAACACTACAGTAATTTAAACGTGTGCAACATGCAAGGTACAGAAAACGTGTGACATGAAGGTCAGTGCGTGTGCAACACTACAAACAACTTAGGAGCGTGTGCAACACTAAAATAAGTAGCGTGTGCAACACACCAAAATAGGGTGCAAATCAAATAAGTAGCGTGTGAACATAAGTACAGAAACGTGTGAAACTAAGGTCAAAACGTTGCAACACTCAAGGTACAGTGCGTTGCAACACTAAATTAAGTAGCGTGTGCAACACTCAGGACAGTAGGTGTGCACACTGCAAGGTAGAAAGTGTGCAACACTCAGGTACAGTACGTGTGCAACATAACAATAAGTGCGTGTGCA